CTTTCCCTTCCAGCAGGTAAACCCAGAGAAAGCTGAAAGATTACTTGAGGGATGGTCTGGAAGGAAAAGCTGTTGGTTCTTCTGATGTGTGTGTGTGCGCAGATAGGGGTGGAAATTACTGTACAAATCAATTCTGAAACTGAGAGGCGGATGTGGGATGTTTTAAACCTGCCTCCATTCAAATCTGCTGCCGAAGCATCACAACAAAACTTCATTAACAAAACATGATACCAAGCCCTGTTCCTCCTCCTGTCTCCCAGTCTCTGCTGTAGGACAACTTCACTGACGGTAAGGAGGTTTCTAATTTGCACCAGCGTAAGATAGTGGAGAAGGAAGGGTGTCTGTGATCTCTACAAAGGCATTAGCATCCTCTCCCTTGGGACTCCGGGGCTCACAGCTAATTCTCCAGGCGCCTGCAGAAGTTACAGAGCAGCTCCTGCCCCACAGCCCGGGACACAGCGCGTCCCTCCCTCGCTCGGCGCTCCTCAGGAGCCGCCGTCGCCTTCACACAGGAGCTAACCCCAGCTCGGTGCACGTGGCTGGAGCGGGGTGCAGCGGGCAGGGGGTAAGGCCCTTTTTGTGCTCACGTGTGGCTGCTAACCAGAGGCACACGTTAGTGTTTAATTCCATACCAAAAAAAAAAAAAAAAAAAAAGCACCTCACAGCTGGCAGGAACCCTCCAGGACCCCGGAGAGCCAGAAGCCAAGCCTGGGCTCGCTCCCTCTCTCCGTGCAGCCCGCTGGATTCCTGGGCAGGGAGTAGCACCACGGGACCGAGCCCCTTCTGCAGCTCTCCCTGCAATTTTGGCTAATGCAAGATCAGCCCTCAAGCAGCTAAAATGGTTTCTCTGCTACACTTTTAAGGGAATGCTGCAGTTTTAAACCACAAATTAAATTTTTAATGAAACTTCATAACTGTTGTACCCAAATGTAATGTAATATTGATAGGAACTGTGCATCCAGCTAGCATGAGATTGCCCTAGAAAGCTTTTTAGGATGTTATGCAATATATAGCTAAATTAATTATTTGTAATGAAAGGATCTGTGTCCCTATAGCATCACTGAGACCTACTAGCACAAAGAACACACTCCTCTCTCTCACTGGATGTAAATGTCAGGCAATTTAGAAGGAAACCAACTTTTGAGGTGGGAACAATGAAAGAAAGGGAAGGAAAAAAGGGGAGAGAGTGAATGTGTGTGTGAGAGAGAGAGAGGGAGCGAAACAGAGAGAGAGAGATCTGCAAAGAAAGACTGCAGCAAAATGCAGCAAATTTCCAAACTCCAGTCCAAAGTGTTTGTCTGTTACAGAAGGGAATACTCCACCTTACACACACTGTATTTGTACTCGCTACACACCATGCTCAAGCTGTTCTAATGACAGCTGTAGATTTCAGAAGGCGTAAAAAACCCCCAGATTTTGCATATACACTATTCTGGAAACTTAACCGTGGAGCAGCTCGGAGGTGTGGGCTGGTTCCGTGCATCTCGTCTGGCTGCACAAGGCAAAGGGCTTTGGGAAGGATCCTGCTCCCTCCGGACACCGGCTCCGCACAGACCGGTGCGGTAGTGTGACCAGAGATCCCATCCTTGCTGCAGTCTCCCTGAGAAGAAGCCCTTATATTAAAAACAAAACCAAACCAAACCCCCAAATCAACAGACCAGCCCCAAAGCCACTGCCACGTCCTGCTTTAGGCGTGCTGGGGCTGGGGGCGCGCAGGCAGGGGCTGGAGCGGACGATCCCTCTGGGAACCTCGGAGACAACACGGGCACAGCCAGCAGCTCAGCCACGTACCAGCTGGATGCACAAACAAAAGGAGCTGGGTTTCTCGCTCGCTGAAGTCTACCCATTACTATTTCCCATCGCATAGCTGCCTCCATCCCATAATGGATCATATTGTTCCCACTCCGCAGAGACTTAAATGCGGAATCAGCATTACCCCACAGGAGATGTTTTATGTACAGCAGGCTGCACAAACAGGAGAGAAAGCTTCCACTCCCTGCTCCCTAGGGCTCCAGCTCCTGGGATTAAAGAGATTTGTCCACTTAAAAAAAAAATATGTCCTTTATGCATTTGTAACTCTGCCGTTCTCACACGAAGGTTAGTGTCGGACAGATCGAGTATCTACATTCCTCACCTCTGCGCTGGAGGGCTGGCGGTGGCAGAGGGCACTGGGAGCCAGGGCTGCTGGTCCCTGGAGGGAGCACCCTGGACTGTCCAAAATGATTCACGTCCATCACAAATACAAATGTGCCTGCTGGCTCCTGTTCAGAACTAAATCATCTCCAAGGGTCCTTGATAGCTGTGCTCAGCTCTTTTCGGCCACAGAGCGATAAATCAGCTAGCTACAGAGAGCGCTTCGGAAAAGGCAAGAGAAGAGTTAAAAATAATAGGGGCTCCATTATTCCATTATACCCCTACAGCTCCTAAATCTACAAAAGCAATAACGGATCCTACTGCATGATTCAGTGATTCTGGGAAAGCTGAAATCTTGATCACATTTTCTAGCTCTTTCTTTGCATTAGGAGACACAGGGGTTATTTTGCTTATCTGTTGTAGTGCAGCTTTGTTGTTTTTTCCTATCTAGGTATTTATACGGTCTCCATCACCATAGTATCGGAGTGTTTATTTTATTGCACCTGTCACCTTGGTCTCGTCTCAGCATAATGTACTGTGGATGACAAAAGATTCCTAGTTAAATTGGTTCAGTGACATGAACAGCTTTGTCAATACCGTGCAAATGTTAACAGAAGTGGGTACCAATGCAGCTGCCTCTCAGACCAGCTCTACACTGGTGTAATTGTATTGCCTGCAGTAACATTATTTTTGGTTTGCATTCCTGCCTGTGGCAGAAGAATTAGACCTGCAGTCTTTTCAGCCTTTTCCATAGCATCCCTTTTCTTAAAAAACAAACAAACAACAAAAAAACAACAAAACAAGCTCACCATGAAACAACAAATCAAACCAAACAAAACCCCAAACCAAACCAGCAGAGAAGGGAGACTGGTCTGCCCAGTAAAACACATCCTACCTGTCCCCTTCCTCAACTCCCCTCTGCTCCATTCCTGTTGCACTGAACTGCTACACAGCACGGAGAGCAAACAGGAGGAAAAGTAACCAGGGCAATAAAGCCAGAAGTGAAGAACCAGTGGAAATGCAGGTTTTCCCCCCAAGAATTTCCAGAAGCAACGCACACAGCACCAGAGGTGAGCTCCTCGGGGGTCACGGGGGGCCCTGAAGCGGGCCAGGATCAGCAGCGAGAGCCAGAAGCCGGAGGAAGGCTGCAGGCAAGGAGGCTCTGCCGTGCCCACGGGCGCTGGGACGGGTCGGACGGGCGACGGCAGCGCAAGCGCCGCAGGAGCCCAGCAAGGGTGCTGAGCCTTCTGCCACGTCTCCATCCTCCTCGGCCACTTCTGTCCCAGCGCTGCCCTGACCTCCCTGGGCTGGGCACCAACGGCCATACCCAGCCACAGCAGGGAACTGGGGGGGGGTTGCCAACCCTGCCAACCCTTTTTCTGCTGTGCCAGATGACAACCCCAAGCCTCTGGGTTTGGCCACGAAATGCTGTTTTAACCTGCAGAGCACTGCTGGGTGAGGAACGGGGCCTCCCAAAGGCAGCCGAGGTGCCTTCGAGAAGGAAACGCTCTCTGCCAAGGTAGTGTGTCATAAAACTCTTGCAGCGAGATAAACACCTGCAAGAGAAAAGGCACCAAACTGAGTCACAGGTCTTGCTGCGGGCAGGTCGGTGTGCTCCAGCTCCCGGGGAGGGCTCGCCGGGCCCGCGTCAGAGGGGAGAGGACCAGCAAGTGGTAGTACTTCATCTTTTGAGGATCCGTGGACGGAAAGCCTTCGTCTTTTACTGACCCACTTCGCTAATCAAAATTAATTGCTTCATATTTCACAGGATAACTTGGCATTATGTAAATACTCCAGCCATATGGACAGCTGCAGTGCAGGTTGGGTGGAGCAGGCAGTGAACTGAACCGAGAGGACCAAACTCACTGGTGCTGTAACCAGCAGCACGTTTACCCAGGCAGGCTTCTGCCTACACCTCTCAGCAGTTCAGGTATTTCCTAACACGACACAATACCGTGGAGCACGAAGACAAGGATAAAATCAACAGGTAGGAGCCTGGAGGAGCTGGGGCTGCTCGCGCCCCGTGTCCTGGCCAAGGGAAGGCTGTGAGGAGCAAAGCCATGCTCGCTTTTCCGGGACTGAAGAGGAATCAGCCTCAGCTGAAGATGAGAAAAGCCGCAATTCCGGCAGCCAGGAACGATTTCCAGCAAAGACGGATCCAAATATCACCCGGGGATTTTCTTTTTTCCCCCCGATTAAAAAGGAAGAAGCAAAGCAGCAGTTGCTCTCCTATGCCCAGGACAGAGCTGGGCACCAGCATCACTTTGGTGCGCCTTCACCCTTCGCCTTGCCCCACAGACCACCTGCGTCCTCCCCACGGAGCACCCGCGGGCTCCCGTGCCGTGGGGGCATGGCGGGGGGGGGGGGGGGGTGTAGGTCCAGGGATGCGTGGGGGGAGCAAGGAGATGCTCTGCCAGGAGCAGCCGTGGGCAGTGCGAGGAAAAGCGCCCCCCCCCCCCCGCGGCCCCTCGGCGGTGCTACCGACAGCGCCCCGCCGCAGCGGCACGGCACACGGGCTCCCACGGACACGGACCCGCGCGGCCCTTTCCACGCACGGCCCCTGCGCGCGCGCACGGGCTGCACCGCTCCCCCGCTCCGTTCCCCCCCCCCCCCCCCCCCGACGCCGCTTTAGCCCCCTCCACGCACCCACTCCCGCCGCACGAGCTCTTCCCCTCCACGCGCGCCGCGCCCGCCCACTCCCACGCCCCCCCCTCCCCCCGCACACACACCCACTCCCACGCATGGACACTCACGCACGCACACACTCACACACACGCACACTCCCGCTCCCCCCCCCCCCCCCACGGCCGGGATTCCACGCGCCGTGACGTCAGGGCGCGCGGCCCCGCCCGGGCGCTATAAGAGGGGCCGCGTGCCGCAGTGGGCCCGGCCGAGAGCAGCGGAGCCGGCCCCAGCGCAGCCATGGCCGCGGGGCCCCCCGCCGCCCGCCGCCTTCCTCCTCTCCTCCTCTTCTTCCTCCTCCTCCTCCCGCTGCTCTGCCTGCGCGGCCGCGGCCAGAGCTTCGGGCAGACGCGCTTCATCTGCACCTCGGTGCCGCTGGACGGGGACATGTGCGCCGCCTCCGCGCCGGGCGGCGATTCTAACGCCGAGGAGCTGAAGAGCACCGTGCTGCAGCTGCGGGAGACGGTGCTGCAGCAGAAGGAGACCATCATCAACCAGAAGGAGACGATCCGGGAGCTGACGGCCAAACTGGGCCGGTGCGAGAGCCAGAGCGCGCTGGAGCCGCTGCCCGGCGGGGCGGGCAGGAAGGCCGCCTTCCCCAAAAACACCATGGGGGACCTGTCGCGGGCTCCCGCGGCCGAGACCCTCAGCCAGCTCGGGCAGACGCTGCAGTCCCTGAAGACCAGGCTGGAGAACCTCGAGGTACGCGGCCCCGGGGGGGCGGGGGGGGGTGGGGAGCGGCGCGGCGGGGCGGCCGGTAACGGCCCCGCTCCCCCGCTCGCCCCTTGCAGCAGTTCAGCAGGATGAACTCCTCCGGCCAGAGCAACAGCCTGAAGGACATCCTGCAGAACAAAATCGACGACCTGGAGAAGCAGGTGCTGTCGCGAGTGAACAGCCTGGAGGAGGGCAAGTTCGGCCCCCGGAACGACTCCGAGGAGCGCGGCAAGATCGAGAGCACCCTCACCTCGCTGCACCAGCGCATCACCGACCTGGAGAAAGGTACCGGGCGCTGCCCGGCCGCGCTGCCCGCGGGACGCCCGGTCCCGGTCCCGGCCCCCCCCCCCCCCCGCCGCTCCGTGCCCGCTCCCGCTGCCCGGCGCTACCGGGCGGGATGCGCAGCCGCTCCGCCCGGCTCTGCCGAGCCCGTCCTGCTTCCCCCCCAGCTTGGAGCGGTCCCCCCTTTCCTCCCCCTTCCCACCCCTGCTCAGAGCGGTCCCCCCTTTCCTCTCCCCGCCCCGGAGCAGCCCCCCCTTTTCCTCACCTTTCCCCACCTTCTTGGAGCCGTTCCCCTTTTCCTCACCTTTCCCCATCTTCTTGGAGCAGTCCCCCTTTTCCTACTTTTTTGGAGTAGTCCCCCCTTTTGCCACCTTCCCCCCCCCCCCCCCCCCCCCCGGAGGGGTCTCCCCTTTCCCCCCCACTGTAGCCGGGACGGTTCCTGCAGCAGGAGCAGGGGATGCTCTGGCCGCTGCCCTGGGCCGGGGATTAGGGAGCCGTACGGTGCCGGAGGGATTTAGCTCCTCGCTGCCATCTCAAGGCCCGTTATGTAACAGGGTGGGGAGGAGGGGGACAGGACGGGGACACCCCCAAAGCGGGCAGAGAGGGGGGGTCCGGCCGGAGCCCACCGCTCCTCCACCCCCGCAGGCCAGAAGGACAACCGGCCCCCGGACAGGTTCCAGCTCACCTTCCCGCTGCGCACCAACTACATGTACGCCAAGGTGAAGAAGAGCCTGCCCGAGATGTACGCCTTCAGCGTCTGCATGTGGATGAAGTCCAACGCCTCCCCCGGCATGGGCACCCCCTTCTCCTACGCCGTGCCCGGGCAGGCGAACGAGCTGGTGCTCATCGAGTGGGGCAACAACCCCATGGAGATCCTCATCAATGACAAGGTACGGCCCTGGGGAGGGTGCTGGGCAGGGGGGGACCGGCTTGGAAGGGGGGGGGGGGGGGGGGTACCCTCGTGCCCACCGCCCTGACCCACTGCCCGCAGGTGGCCAAGCTGCCTTTTGTCATCAACGACGGCAAGTGGCACCACATCTGCGTCACCTGGACCACCCGGGACGGCGTGTGGGAAGCCTACCAGGACGGCACGCAGACCGGCAGCGGCGAGAACCTGGCACCCTACCACCCCATCAAACCCCAGGGGGTCCTGGTGCTGGGCCAGGAGCAGGTGAGGGCGGGGGGGGGGGGTGCAGGCGCGGGGGGGGGGGGGTCCCTGCTCAGCCGGGTGCTCCCGGGGTGGGATGGGGCAGCCCGGCCGCCTGCCCCCGGTGATGGTGGCCCCTCTGCAGGACACGCTGGGCGGCGGGTTCGACGCCACGCAGGCTTTCGTGGGGGAGCTGGCCCACTTCAACGTGTGGGACAGGAAGCTGAGCCCCGGGGAGGTGTACGGCCTGGCCACCTGCAGCACCAAGGCGCTCTCGGGCAACGTCATCGCGTGGGCAGAGGCCAACATCGACGTCTACGGCGGGGCCACTAAGTGGACTTTCGAGGCCTGTCGCCAGCTCAACTAGAGCCATGGACAAGCGAGAGAAACCTTCTCATTGGGTTCTTTTTTCTTATTTTTGTGTTGGTTTTTTTTTGTTTGTTTGTTTGTTTTTTTGTTTTTGTTTTGTTGTGCAAAAACAACTGAGAACGAAGCCACCTGTCTTGTCCCGAGGAGCGGGGATGCCCTGGCCATGGGGCCGCCCGCCCCCGGAGCCCCACGACCCTCCGGTTTCTGTCTTGCCAACGTCCTTCAACGCCTGCGTGCCTTGGCCTGGCGCGGCTGCGCCCCCCTCCCGCCACCCCCCCCCGGGCCTGGACCCTGCTTTGCTGCTGCCTTCCCCCCCCTCCACCCCCCGCCGGGGTGGCCCCGCTTTCCCCGGGGAACTGACGCCTTAAAAGGCTGCAGGACCCGGACCAGAGCCCCCCCTCAGGGCTCCTCTCCCTCCAGCCTGAAGCCCCCCCCAGAGGCAGGGGAGGGTTGCATCCCCCCCCACCTCAGTTGTGCTCCCTCCCAGGAGCCAGGGGTGCAGCAGCGGCCAGGACTCTGAGGAGGGGGTGACCCCCCCCATTCTCAACCCCCCCTCTTGGGCGAGCCCCGTCGCCCCCTTCCCCGGCCGGCGCCGCTCCTGAGCACCACAGCCATAGCCCCGGGCTGCGGCGGGCACCGGGACGGGCCCCTCCCGGATGGGACCCCCCCGCCGGCCCCGCTCCCCGACCTGCCGCACTCAGGTACGTCCCCCCAGCCCTGCCGCCTGCAGCCCCCCGAGGCCTCCTACGTGCCGTAGCTGGTGAAAAATAGCCTTTACTGTCCCCTGGAAGTTTAGCTACCACTGAAAAGTCTGAAGCCTTTCTGCTTTTGATAATACACTATGTTGTTTCTCTTACTGTAAAGGGAAGTTTATTACCAATAAAAAAAAAAGGGTATTTTTATGAAGATTAAAAAAAACCTATAGAATTAAGCAGTGCTCCCTGAGAAAAAAAGTACTTTGAGATTCTGCAGGAAAAAAAAAAAAAAAAAAGAGATAAAGAAGAGTATTTTGAAATAATAGATGCATTTTGTATGGTTTCCTTTTCTAAACTCCTGGTTTGTACTACAGATTGCAGAAATCACCCCCCAGCCCCCTTCCACTGACCCCCAAGGGCTGCCCTGGGTGGCAGTGGAGGATGAGGCAGAGAATTCACACAGGGCTCCAGAGCCTCCCCGACCAACTCCAAAGATGTGGCAAAGAGGTGTGCAGGGTGGAGGGGCCCGTACGGAGCCGGGCAAGGCCAAGGTCGCCCCTGGGCAGGAGCACAGAGCTGGCCCAGCCACCGCCGCTTCGGGGAACCAGCACCCAGCGAGGAGCAGCACCCGCCGCGGCACACGCACCCCCCGGATCGAGACACCTTCGTACGAACTGCGGCTCAGGGCAGCGTATTTTAAACTGTGCTCTTTTTAAAAAAAAAAAAAAAAAAAAAGAAAAAAAAAAAAAAGGCAAAAAGCATCGTGAGTTAATTTCAGTTCCTCCTAAGAACCTGTTCACATCAGCAAAGCGACAAGTACAACCTGCTGAGAAGAACAAGACCACTGGAAAGGTTCAGTCTACAGTCCCAGGTGTGTCGGATTTGCCAAAAAAAAAAAAAAAAAGGGTGTGATGTCAACATAATGTATATAGTGTATAGTAGGGGAGAGAATAAATGTATCTTAATTTGTCATTATTTTGCTAACCAAAGCTGTACATTTTTCCTATTACTTGCTCTCTGTCCCCTTTGGGTTTTGAATGGGTTAAGATATACTACGCATCCAGTCCGCATCAGCAGTTCTGAAAATGCACTGTTTCTACTGATACTCATGCTTTTTCCATTTTATTGCTGAGATTACATGAATTGTTGACTTTATTTTTACACAATAAAGAGTGAAGAAAGACACCACCTTCTCTTAACCGTGTCTGTTCCCGGAGCAGCCCGGGATCTTCCTGCACAGGAAGGTTTTTGCCGTGTAAGGTGGGAATTCCTGCCCCGTTCCCCTCGGAGCTTTGGCCGTGCCTGCCCTCAGCCCCCATCTCCCCCTGGTTTATGCAACACCATCATACATTTTTTTTTTTTTTCTTCTCTTCCCCCCCAAAACACAGGCTGGAAGCTCGGCTGCCTCTGCCAGGCTGGTGACGGTGGGGACAGTGACACCCCGGCACCTCCCCGCCGGGGCAGGACCGTGCTGCGCTCGCCCGGGGCGTTCCGCTCGTCCCTGGGGGAGCCGGGCCGGGCTCCCAGCGCCGTTCCGGGAAGGCATTGCTCCACAGGGCAAATCTGAGCGCGGGGGGGACGCGGGGGCACGGGGGCCAGAGGCCACCCCTGTGTCACCGGTGCGGGGACGCGGCAGCGGCTGCAGCCCCAGGGCGGCTTTTGCAGTTCCTAAGGAATTGCTATGAATCCCCACTTGTTACACCTCTGCTGCAGATCAGACGTGCTGGATAAATTGCTTTTTGTATTTAGACAGAAGCAGGAAAGCTATTATTTACTCCTTATAACCAGCCAGAAACAATTTCCCCTGACACGTCCCACTCCCCCAACTCCCCCCCCCTCCCACTGCAGCTGGGAACGGGAGCTGTAGGGTCCAGTTTGGCCCTGCTGCCTCGGGCACCACGGGGACACCAGCACTCCCCTCCCTCTGCCAGAGGAAGCACAGGGTGACACAGCCCCGAGGGACGCAGCTGCTGCCCCGCGTGTGGCCGGCGACTCTCAGCTCCCGGGGGCCAGCGAGGGTCCCGCATCTTCCCGAGCAACAGCTCCAGCCAACTGCGGCCTCTAACAGCATCCCTGACCGCTCCCCCCGCCACCTCCCGCACCCCCGGGGCCCCCCTCCTTCACCCCACGCCTGCCACCCTAATAACGCCTCTTTTCCTCGGGGGGGGTTTGCCCCTGTGACGGCTCCAGGTCCCGCTCAGGACATCTCAAGCCGTGACCACGGTGGCACAGCGGACAGGGAGGATGTCCCCAGCCGAACCGCAGCTCTGGGGACCCGCCGTGTTTTCCTGTGCCGCCGGCCAGCAGCGGAACTGCAAGTGCCGGGTACCGCTGGCAGGGGCTGGTCAGCATCTGGAATCCTCTGGGGGCAAAGGGTGAAACGAAACATCCAAACTATTTTAGGGCGATTTCCTGAGCCCCACGGGGGCCAGGCTGGGAGTGTGATGGATGTGCCATTCACCCGTTGCTCCTGCAGGTGATTAGAGAGGAGGCGCAGATGGGCTGCCAAGGGAGCCGCAGCCAAGGCTGGTGGGTGGGCAGGATGGGGAGCAGCACAGGCGCCGGAATTAAAGCAGGGGCGGGATGCCAGAGGACACAGAAGGGGTGCTGAAGAGAACGGTGCAACCAAGAGTTTCCCTCTCCCCGACTCCCCAGATGCCCCCCCCCCCCAGCGTAGAAGCGATTTAGATCAGCGTCTTGACAACCTCACAAAAGCATCGACACTGCAGAGCCCCAGCCAGAAATCCTCCCCCCACGCACCCCCCCCCCCCCCCTTCCCCGGCCCTCAGAGCAGAGCTCAGCCCTCTCCGGCGACGCAGGTACCATCCCCTTCCCTCCCGCCCCTGAAAACCAGCTGCTCCAAGGACAGGCTGCTTGGTTTCATGTCACTGGGAACAGCCTACATCTTTGCAAGGGGAATGCTATTTTTACCCAGGGAACGGGTGGCGGCTCCTGCATTGTTCTCAGCCGCCGCCAGCCCACCCCAGCGCCGAGCAGGGCCCTGCCCTGGGCACAGCCATCTCCTCCGCCGCACTCAGCCATCCCGTGTGCCAAGATAAAAGTACAGTGCCCACTCGCTACCGCAGGAGAGGGAAACGGTACCCTCAGCTGGAGGCTTGTGCTGCACTACAATTTAAACTGCAATAAAAAAAAATTACACTACCGGGCTTTTTTTTTTTTTTTTTTCTTCTGTCGGTAGCTGGAAAACATTGCTGCGATTAAAGCAGGCAGGGCTGTCTCGCTCCCCGAGGCGGGCGGCACGGCAGGAGCAGAGCGGGTTGGATGGGGGTGATGGTTGAGGGAGCTGGAGAAGCTGAGACTTGTGCATCAAGAGAGGAGTGACAAACCTCCCGGCTCATCACCTCCCGGGCTCCCCAAGGCTGCGAGGGGACCCTCGATCTCAGCCCCACAGAAACCCAGGGGTATCGAATTCCTTGTGTGTACCACCATTTCGGGCAGGGAGAAGAGGGGCAGAGCAGCCCCAGGGCCAGCCCTGCCCGTCCCTCCTGGGGCAGCCCAGCACCCAGCAGCACCCCAGCGCCGGGCAGGCAGGGAGGCAGGGAGGGTCCCGTGGGAGGAGATGAGCAGCACAGGCCTGTCAATAAGATGCACCAATCCTGACACCTCGCCCTGCAACCAGAAACTGCTGCTCTGGGCTGAGAGCTGTTTAGTGGCACCAGCCCTGCCTGGGTGACGCTGGTGCCAGCCAGCCCAGCATCCCCTGCAAGCGCAGGGCTGAGGGAGTGCACTAAATCCAGGAGGCTTTTAGAGCAGCGGAGCAGATGGAGATCTTGGGCTGCGTGAGGACAGGCCCCACGACTCGGGAGATTGCTCAGAAATATTGATGGGGGCGAGGGAGAATTCTTAAGGGCAGGATACAGTCGGGATTTACAGCTCTGATCCAACTTCTCGCTGGTGACTCACATAGAAGAGAAACCACTCTCCCTTTTGGGCATTTTGCACCTCATTGACCCCCCCCCCCTTTTCTCCCCACTCCTCCGGCACAGGTCAGCTCCACTAACAGCTTTCAAGAGGTGAGAGGAGGTGATGGGCTAGACAAAAAATTAAATAGGCTGCCTTTCATAGACAGACACCCATGAAAACCCGATACAGCGTGTCCTGAGCTGGCCTCTCCCACATCCCTGCCCTGCTCAGGACGGCCCCAGGGCACACGCACACACACACCACACACACACACACACACACACACCCCGCCCGGAGGGGACAGGCTGCCTGCAAGCAAAGCTCTCCGCAGCACTGCATCCAGGAACATCCCAGAGCATCATTATTATGCAGTGCCAAAGGCGTGCTAGGCACTTAATAACATGCCGTTAGATTAATTAGTAGCGAGTGCGTCACGCCGTATGCCTGGCCTGGGCCGGGAGCACGTGGCTCCATGGGACCCGCATCAAATATGTGTGAGACACAGCGCTCGTGTGCGGGGGGCAAAGCCCCCAGGAGCAGCGAGGGGGGGCTCAGCTCTGAGCCTGGGCCCGGCTGCGTCGGGGAAGCGATGGGAATGTTGGCACATGCCTACAGAAAACAATCTTCAAGAATTGGAGGTTATGGAGAGGGGGGGAAAAAAGGGGTTTACAGGCTGAAGCATCCTCCCCCCTCCCCAGCACGGCTCCTCGATGGGGTTTGGAGCGCTGGCACCAGCCTTCCTGAGGCCAGGGAGCCCTGACAGCAGCTCCAAGTGGCACATAAACACCCCGAGCAGCAAGCACGGGGCTGAGGAGCTCAGCCAGCGCCGAGCACCACTGCGGCTGCTCCCAAAGGCTCCCAGCTGCGGCGGGGGCTGCCCAACACCGGCCCGGGCTCCCCCGGGGACGCGGCTCGGAGCGAGCGACTCGCAGGCTGCGCGGCGAGAGGAAGAACGCGGGGAGGCAGGCAGCCAAACACCACGCTTTGGGGTGCCAGGCAGGGCTGGGAGGATTTCCTGACCTGGGGAGGGAGGGAAAGCGTCAGCCCCCCCCCCCCCCGCCCCAGCAGCAGGGCAGGAGGAGGAGCAGGGCCACGGGGCACCCGGGGCTGCGGGCGCTGCAGCCCAGCCCTGCCACGGCTGCGGGAGCGCGGGGACCGGCTGGGCCACTGCGGGCGGCTGGACACAACCCCGGGCACTAAGTCAAGGCCAACAGACCGTTCCGGTCACAGGCGTGAGTCACTGCTGTGACAGTGTCCCTCAAAGGCTGCTCAGGAGCCTGCGCTGGCACAGCACCGTCTCCCCACGCCTCCGCTGCGGCACCGCCCGGGCGCCCTTCCCAAGCACAGCTGAGGAAGGGGCTTCCCCCAGCCCTTCCTCCCCCCGGGAAACCCAGCCAGAGCTGGCCGGGGCCCTGCT